CGGTCCCCCAGGTGAGAAGCAGATGCGCTTCGCTCTCTCGGACCTGCCGTTCGATGTGAGCCCGGCCTTCGAGAAGGACTCGGAGCTGGTTCCGGCCCGCGGCCACGGCCTGGAGCCGCCGTACGCGGGGCCGCTGTCGCTGCTGGGCGCCGGGGACCCGCTGCGCCCGCTGCGCCTGGCCACCAACTGCATCACCGAGGTGACGCCGGTGATCAGCTCCGTGTACACGCAGATCCAGGCTCTGCCCGCCCGCCTCGAGCTGCCGCGGGGCCGCGACTCCTCCGAGGACGGCGCCGAGGGCATCCCGGTGATCTTCCGCAGCCGCGACGCCGCCGGCTCGCCCTCCAACGGCTGCCAGGACTCCACGGACACCGAGAGCATCCAGGAGGAGCGGGCGGGCGGCGGCAGCAGCCGCCACAGCCCGGCCTACGCCAAAGAGGAGCCCAAGGAGGAGCCGGAGGGCGCGGCCCGCTGCTTCCCCAAGGAGTCGCTGCGCGTTCTCAACGAGGAGGGCGAGCAGCTGCGCGCCTTCTGCTGCGAGCACTGCCGGGTGCTCTTCCTGGACCACGTCATGTTCACCATCCACATGGGCTGCCACGGCTTCAGGGACCCTTTCGAGTGCAACATCTGCGGCTACCGCAGCCAGGACCGCTACGAGTTCTCCTCGCACATCGTGCGCGGCGAGCACAAGATTTGAGGTGGGAAAAGTCTCCTCCCTCTCGATTTCTCGACGTTTTCCCCGCCCCGCCCCGCCCCGCCCCGGGTTTTCCACTCCTGTGTCGTGAACTACAAAATGTGAGGTTGGAAAACTCGCCCGTCTCAAATTCCCTGGTTTTTTTCCCTTCCTGTTGTTCCTCCCATTTCCACATTGTGCGCGCCGAGCACAAAATCTGAGGTTGGAAAAAAAAAAAATCCCTCCAGCCTCGAATTCTCCTTTTTTTTTTTTTTTCCTCGATTTTCCCCCCTCCCACATCGTGCGCGGCGAGCACAAGATTTGAGGTGGGAAAAGTCTCCTCCCTCTTTTTCCTGCCTCTGATTCTCGACATTTTCCCCGCCCCGCCCTTGGGTTTTCCACTCCTGTGTCGTGAACTACAAAATGTGAGGTTGGAAAACTCCCCTGTCTCAAATTCCCGGTTTTTCCCTCGATTTTTCCCTTCCTGTTGTCCCTCCCATTTCCTCTCCCACATCGTGCTCGAAATGTGAGGTTGGAAAAAAAAATCTTCCCCGCCTCAAATTCCCTTTTTTTTCCCCCGGATTTTCCCCTCCCACATCGTGCACGCCCGAGCACAAAATCTGAGGTTGGAAAAAAAAAAATCCCTCCAGCCTCGAATTCTCCTTTTTTTTTTTTTTCCCTTCGATTTTCCCCTCCCACATCGTGCTGGAAAT